AATTGTTTGTAGGAAATCAGTGTTGCGAAGCCATGTGTTTTATACTATGTTTTTTGAGGACTCGATTTCGAAATCCTTCCGAAACCGATGGTTCTTGAAGGATTTCGGCATGCTCGCGCGACGGCGCGCGCGTGTGCACTTCGTCGCATTTGCTGGCCAGGGATTCTTGAGAACTTATGAGTTTTGATAAACGAGAGCGCGCATAGTATTTGTTGCAAAGGATGGCGGGGGGAAGTGATACCTGTTTGGCTGGGGTAATATGGATTCATATTTTGGATGGGCGAGTGTGTAGAATAAATATGAAATCGCAATATCCCAACGCGGATCGTTAACTCCGGGGGGGTGGTCGGGTTTTTTCTTTTTCTGAGAAAGGAACGCCTACGCGGCGAACCCTACGCAGTGCAGTCTACGCGGTGCAATCTATGCGGTGCAACCAACCACTTGCTCAACGTGAAGCTGTCCGCTCGTGCAAACATCCCACCCTCCCACCCGCAACTTGGTCGCAAGACCTCTGAAGACCGTGACGGTGGGTACCACATGGAATTTGGCAACGACATCGACGCCGACGACGACAGCGACAACGACGACGACGACGCCGACGACAACGACAACGACGCCACTGACGACGTCTCCAACGACTCCGACGACGACGACGACAACGACGACGACGACGACAACACCGACGACGACGACGACGCCGACGCTGACGACGACGATGACACCGCCGACGACGACGACGCCGCCGACGACGACGACGACGACGCCGGCGACGACGATGACGACGACGACGGCGACGACGAAGACGACGACGACGACGTCGCCAACGAAAACGACGAAGACGAGGGAGGAGGAATGACGACGATTGCGACGACGACAACGAAGAGGGAGGAGGGAAGACGACGACGACGACAACGACGACGAAATAGGAGGGACAACGACGAAACGTCGACGAAGACGATGAGGGAGTAAGGACAACCACGCCGACAACGACGACGGAAACGACGACGACGCCAAGACGAAAACGACGACGCCAAGGAAATACAGAGGACGACGACGGCGACGACGACGACGACAACGAGGGAGGAGGGACAACGGCCACGACGACGACGACGCAAGAGCGCGCGCGCACGCTTTTGTTTAACATCCGTGTTGCAAAACCGTGTGTAGTTGTATGTTTTTTGGACACACGATTTTGAATTCCTGCCGAAACCCATGGTTTGTGAAGGATTTCGGCATGCGCGCGTGGCGACGCGCGCGTCTGCACTTCGTCCAGTTTTCTGCAGAGGATTCTCGCGACGGCATGCGCGCAAAGACATTCGAAAGATTTTGACATGCGCGCGCGAAGCCCGTTTGGTAGTATGTTTTGCAAATGTTAAAAAACCTATGGTTTTCTTAAGATTTCGCAAGAGCGCGCGCGTAAGTTGTTTTAGACAAGCTGCGTTGCGAAACCACGTGTTTTTTTATAAGTTTGTTTTGGGAACTGAATTTCGAATTCCTTCCGAAACCGAAGGTTCTTGAAGGATTTCGGCATGCGCGCGCGACGGCGCGCGCGTGTGCACTTCGTCGTATTTGCTGGCCAGGGATTCTTGAAAACTTGAGTTCTGATAAACGAGAGCGCGCGCACAGTATTTTTTGCAAAGGATGGCGGGGGGGAGTGATACCGGCTTGGCTGGGGCAATATGAATTCATATTTCGGGTAGGCGAGTGTGTAGAATAAATATGAAAATTGCAATACCCCACGGGGGATCGTTAACTCCGGGGGGGGGGGTCGAGATTTTGTTTTTTTTTTTTTTTTTTTTTTTTTTTTTTTTTTTTTTTTTTTTTTTTTTTTTTTTTTTTTTTTTTTTTTTTTTTTTTTTTTTTTTTTTTTTTTTTTTTAAAAAAAAAAAAAAAAAAAAAAAAAAAAACGGAGAATTCATTTTGACAAACGAGTTGACACACCCCGCGCTCTTGCAAAGATCCCACCCACCCACCCGCAATTTGGCTTGAACAACCCATGCGGTGGCGATTGCGATGCACGTTCGGCGTTGGCTGGTGCATCTCTGCGGCCGCGCCAACCCAAGCACGCGCGCGCAGCGGCCAGCTACCTTGGCGCGGCCGACGCGAACGCGGTGGAGCTGACCGCTCGGCACAGCCCAGCGGGCACTTCAGTGCGAGTCGTCGACTTTGGCGGGCACGGTATCATTGCAACGTCGACAACGGTAGACACGATGATGATCGTAGCGATGTTGGTGACGATGCTGACTACGACGTCGGGGCAGCCAGTGACGGCGCCGATGCTGATCACGCCTGCGACGATGACGGCGTCTTCGCGTCGGTGATGCAGGTGTTGGAGGGACTTTGACATGCGCGCACGGCAGACGCGCGAGAGTGGCCCGCAAGGTATTATTTTATACGGGTCGTGCCACCCCAGCACGCGCGCAAGGGCGTTCGAACGATTTCGGCATGCGCGCGCGGGGAGCCCGTGTGGTGGCATGTTATAAATCTGTTGGAAAAAAAAACATATGGTTTTCTGGAGCATTAGCAAAACGCGCGCGCAAACTTATTTTAGAAACGCGTGCTGCGAAACTTGTTGTCTTAAAAAATATTGTTTGAAGAGAGGGAAACTCGATTTTGAAATCCTTGCGGCACCGAAGGTTTTTGAAAGATTTCGACATGCACGCGCGACGACGCGTTCGTGTGCACATTGTCGCATTAGTTGCAATGTATTCTTGAAGACTTATGACTATTGATAAACGAGTGCGCGCGCATAATGTGTTTACAAAAGATGGCGGGGAAGGGGCCGATACTGGCCTGGCTGGGATGGTACGAGTCGCTATACAAGATGGGCGATGAGGCAGAATCGTATGTAAATTGCAATGCGAAAGAGGGGTCGGTAATCGGGGGGGTGAAGTCTATTCTTTTTAGGAAGAAGATTCCACCAATGCTCAACTTGAGGTTGCCCGTTCCACTGCTCGCGCAAACATCCAACCCACCCGCCCGCAACTCGGTTTGCAAACCCCGTGCGGCGGCGATTGCCATGAGTGCTGGGCGATGGCTGATGCATCTTTGCGGCCGCGACAGCCTTGGCGCGACCGACGCAGCCGCGGTGGCACTGACCGCTGAGCACATCCGAACGGGAACGCGCGAGTCGGCGACTTGGGCGGGCGCGGTATAATGGCCACGTCGACGACGGTAGACACGGTGATGACAATAGCGATGCTGGTGACGATGCTGACAGCGACGGCGGCACGGCCAGTGACGGCGTGGAATCTGATCACGCCGACGGCGATGACGGCGTCCTGATGTCGCTAGTGCAGGTTTTTGACACACTTCGACATGCGCACGCGGCCGATGCGCGAGAGTGGCCCGCATAATATTATTTGACACGGATCGTGCCCCCCCCTTACGCGCGCAAGAGCGTGCGAATGATATCGGCATGCGGCGCCAGAGGCCCGTTTGGCGGAATCCCGTGACGATGTTGAAAAGCCTATGGTTTTCTTCGGAAATCGCAAACGCGCGAGCTCGCGTGGTTTTTTGGGGTAGAAACTGATGTTGCGAAACCACGTGTGCTTTAACTGTTATCTGGACTCTCGGCTTTGAAATCGCCACGGGACCGAAGGCTTTCGACGGATTCCGGCATGCGCGAATTACGACGCGCGCGTGTGCACTTCGTCAAATTTGTTGCAAAGGATTCTCGCGACGGCACGCGCGCAAGGGCGTCCGAACGATTTCGGCATGCGCGCGCGAAGCCTGTTTGAAAAACCGATGGTTTGCCCAGGTATCGCAAGAGCGCGGAAACAAGTTTGTTTTGAAAATCAATGTTGTGACACCGTATGTTTTATATGCTTTTTAACACTCGGTTTTGGGATCCTTACGGGACCTAAGTTCTTTGAAGGATTTCGGCATGCGCGCGCGACGACGCGCGCGTGCACTTCGTCACATTTGTTGCGAGGGATGTTTGGAAACTGAAAACTGTTGATAAACGAGCGCGCGCGCATGTGATTTATGTGCAAAGGATGGCGGGGGGAGCGATACCGGTTGAGCTGGGACGGTGCGAGCTCATATTATGAATGGCCGATGGGGCAAAACCACATGTAAATTGCAATACGGAAAGGGGGACCGATAATCCTTGGGGAGAGGGTAGACTCGATTTTCCTCTTCGAAAACAGAATCTATGCGACGGCGACGGCGGCGACGGGCGGCACCGCCCGGAAAAACCGCCACTCGCCCCGAGCGGCGGCGACGGCGACGGCGACGGCGACGGCGGCGGCGGGCGGCCCCGCCCGTAAAAGCCGCCGTTCACCCCGAGATGGTACAGTCGAGGCGTTGACCTAAGGAACCCTAAATGAGGAACGAGGTCCCTTTTCTCCAGAAGTTCAACCTCGACTTCCCATGGAGAACCTCAGGAAAACCCAAGGCAAACTGTAAAACAATCAAGGAACACCGAGCCCCTCCCCAACGAAAAGGGTTCCTTCTTCAGGGCCCCGACTGTAAGCCAAGTAAGAGCCCCTAAATGCAAGTACTGTCTGGGGAAGAGGTGACGCCCGCGGCGGAGAGCCCAGACCAGTCCCACAGCCCTGTCCGCATCTGCGGGTGATACGGCAGAGGGAAACAATTACTGAACCCCCCCCTCCCCCCAAAACTCAATGTTGGCACGCGCGGGGGAGACTGCGGTCGAAGTGCATCTCATCAGACCCACCGCCAACTTTGAACATTGGGGGGAGGGGGGGGCGTTGACGGATGAATGTGGCATGTGTTCGCCAATGTGTTCCGAGGCCTGTATGGGTAATTGTTCGAACCTGCTATGCATCCCCACCATTCCGTCACCAGCAGGAGAATGGCTCTTGCAGCCGTGTCAGGCCCCGCCCTGACTGCCGCAGCTGCGGCGTAGACAACCCCGCTTGTGTGGCAACTGTCGCGTCGATTTCCGCGCCTGCAGCTCCTGTCATGCCGTGCTTCCCCGATGAACTTCCTGCCCGGCACAGCCGCATCCGAACAAAGAGAGGGGTGCGACTCTCCGTGGAGTCGTTGGGGACACGCTTGTCTGCACCAATCGCCTGCGCGCGGGTGAAGGATAAACCGTTGCCTGGGTTCGCCCCTTGTTCTCTCTTCCACATGGCCGAAAAAACGCGTCGTTCGACTATAAGTCGATGCGCGTACTGAAACACACGCACACACACACTCACACACACACACCACAGGACGAGCGCACATGGTCCTGAGAGGCTCCCGACTGGCTGCCGCAACTGGGAGGCTCCTGCGAAGGTCCAGAGATGGCCATGAGAGGCTCCCGAAAGGAACCTGCGAGGTTCTCGAGAGGGTCCTGGGTCCTGAGACGGAGTTTATTTGGACGCCCGAAAATGGGTACGGAAAGAATGGGTACAATGCCCAACAACAAATGTTGTCCCACACCAACAGCGGCCGCTGTTGGGCAGGCGGCCTTCTGTCTCAAATGTACACAGGCCGCGGCGGCGTGGACAGCGAGTCCTGTTCAAAATGAACAGGATCCGCTGTTGGGCATTGTACCCATTCTTTCCGTGCCCATATCGTTCGTGCAGAGTTTACACAAACGTCCAAAATCCAAGAGGCATCCTCCTCGATCGAAATCAGGCGGCGGCAGCGGGCCGGCACCGCCGCGGCGGTGGCGGGACGACAGCGCGGGCGCAGCCGTCAGGCACACCCTGGGAGAGATGCTGGACAATCTGATGTGCACTGTGAGAGACGTGAAGCGGCACGCTGTGAGGGAATACGTATGTGTGTAAATGTGCATGTATATGTATGTACATGTATGTATATTTGTTCACACACATAGTTACTAGTTATTGTTTACATAATATATATATATATATAGAGAGAGAGAGAGAGAGAGGAAAACAAAAAAAGATCAGAACCACGCGTGCGCTAGGCGCGGGCTCAGGTTCTAGCCAACTCCGAAAACAGTTTCCTCCTCATGAATTATATCCTCATCCACTCTCATGGCAGGCGGGCGCAAACCCGGCGTCGACGTCGTTGTCGGCGTCGTCGCCGCCGTCGTCGTGGTCGCGGGCGGGGGAAAAGGGCAGGGGGGAGAGAAGGACAGGGGAGGGAAGGAGGTAGGTAGGGAAGAACGGACGCAGACAGGCAGGAGAGGCAAAAAGGGAAAGAACGGGTAATGGAGAGAGGGATGGATCAACGACCGAGTAGGAAGTCCTCCTTCTTCCTTTGCATCCGCTTCTTGCTGTATTTGTTTGTCCTCCTCCGCCTCCTCCTCCTCATTCTCGTGATCCTCACCTGCGCGCTCTGCCTCCGTGCTCCTCTACCCCTCTTCGCCCTCCTGTTCCTCTTTCGACGGGCGGCGATAATCATGTTCCCGGCAGGCTTTCCGGAATGTGATTGTCGCCGTCAGTCGTCCCAGGTGAGGCTGCAAAAATTGCAGGACGGCCCAATGGAATAATTCGAACAACCTTTAAAAGGGGTTCGGACGTGGAACTTGGAAAAAAATAGAGGAGGTGCGGGGGGGACTAGAACGCAAAAACGGCAGGAGCTGGCAAGGCCAACTGGACGAGGGTGAAAAACGTGGGGGGGCTTGCGACACAGACCGGAATTGGTTTCGGCCCATCCAGCCGCCGTTCCTGGATCGTGTGTCGAAAACCTGTAGGATGTTCGGTGCGAGGTTAAAGGAAGCCGCGCGGGGACCTCTTAGGGGCCGTTTCTGGCCTCTGTCTTTGACCATTCTGGGCCGTCTGGGGCGCCGCTGGGGCCGCCTTGGGGCCCGCGTGGCCCGGCACCCTCATTGACGTCGTACGGTTCATCTTCATTTGTTGCCTCCTGATTCGCCTCTGTTTGCTGTCTTCCTGTCCTCCTCCTCCTCCTGCTCCAGTCCTTTTCCTTCTAAGTAATTTCGCCCTGTCGCACCCCGAGGCCAATTTTGAAATTGGGTCAGGCGCTTCGCTTGAGACTTCCTCACAACGTATGACTCTGAATCATAAAAATTGGCAACCGTTTCACAGATGGGGGGCGGGTAGTTTTCAAAATGTGTCTCTCCCTTTAGCTCCGCGCACATTCGTTTCAAACATAAGATTTGCAAGAGCTGCACGGATTGAGGGCGACTGGTTTTCAAAATGTTGCTTTCGCCTTTAGCGCCGCACGCATTCGTCATCAAACTTTGCGAGAGTTTCACATGTTGAAGGCGAGTGGTTTTCAAAATGTGGCTCTTGCATGAACGCCGCGCGCATTCGTTTCAAATATTTGCAAGCGCTTCACGGACTGAGGGCGAGTGATGTTCAAGATGTGGCTCTCGCCAAAGCGCCGCGCACATTCGTCCTCCAAGTTTGCAAAAGATTCACGGATGGAGGGCGGTTCCTTTTAAACCATCTGCTCTCGCCTGAGGGCCGCGCGCATTCGTTTTAAAACTCGTTTAAAAAAGCTGGAAAAGTTCCACGGAATCCCATGATCAACAAACCAGAAGCAGCGTTGTGGAAGGATTCAAGCTCATCAGGGTGCACAAGTTATGCTGATTCGCAGCGTCGCAGTTCCAGGAACGGCGTGCTGGCACGACTCCGGATCGTCACGACGCAACAGTCAGGTTGATCCGTGGCGTTGGAATCCAGAACAACAATGCTTTGGCGTGCTTCAGGGTCTTCCAACAAGTGTCTTCCAACGAGACAGTTCCTCAAGTAAAAATGAACCGTTGCAGGGGCCAATGAGAGGGGGATGTTGGAAAAAGGGTTCTTCCAACGTCGTTGATGCCGTTTGGGTTTGCACTGGTCATCCTCCTGCTCCTCCTCCTCCTCGTCGGCTTCCTCGTCGGGCTGGTGGCGACAATCGTGTTCGCGGGAGGCTCTCCGGGTGATGGCGTGGGCCGTGTTGGCACCTTCGGTTCCAGGGTTACCCAAATGGGGCTGCAAAGCCCGAGGGACGGCCTGGTGGGAGCATTTGCAAGTGTTGGCATGGCGGTTAAGCTTGGCAGAGAGATGGAGGGCGCCTGGCAACGAAACAAGAGCGATAGGAGCTGGAGGGCCACGGCAAAGAATGTGAGACGCACAGGACGCCCCACCTACACCGAATCAACTCGAAGCGGGGCCGCGGGCCCGACTTCGGTTCCGCTGCGAACGGGTCCCCAGGCAACGCTACTCAGAATTGGGATGTTCGGCGGGGTGGCGCGGACTCGTCTCCTCCTCTTCGGTATCCTTGCCGGATGGCGGCGACAACGCTCCCAGAAAGCGCTCCAATAATATAATGGTGTGGGCCTTGTTGGGGCCCTCGTGGAAGGTTCTTATATGTCCCAAGTGAAAATCGAAAACCGGAAGGACGGCTCAATGGAATTTTTCAAAAAAGAAGGGGGTGGGAAGGTGGAGCTTAGAACTGACGTGTAAGAGGTATGAAGTGACAGAGCAAGCGCGGCTGGAGCCACGAGGAGGAGAGTGAAAAAGACCCTGGGGGGCTTACGACAGCGACCAGAATTTCTATGGGCCCACCCCGCCACCGTCCTGGATAGTGGGTCGAACGCCTGTAGGATGTTCGGTGGGACGGCGACGGAGGCCGCGCGGGGGCCGCTTGGGAACCGTTTCTGGGCCTCTTGTCGTTGACCATCCTGGGCCGTCTTGGGCGCCCCTGGTGCGCGCGCAGGTAGCCTGGCCCGTTGGTGTGGGTGCTGCTGGCCGCGTCAGCCAGCGTCTCGATGGACCTCTCAGATTCGCTCTTCTGATGGCTGATTGCCGCGCAGCTTGGCTCCGTTTGGCACTGCTGCACGGCGGAATGTAGACTTGAGCGCGGCTCTCGAGCGCGATGGCGATGCCCTTGCGCGCCACGCGGTGTGATTGGTGACCTTCGGGGGCATCTGCGGTGATGGGGAAAACGCGTAGAACGTCTGCAATTTCGGTCGAGTAACTCGCCCCGGGTAGGCCTTGAAATCGTCCTCCAGACCGACGGCAACGATCATGTTCCACTCTGGTCATCACGTGAAAGCGCCCATTTCACACGGAGGAGGGCCCGAACCGCCCGTGCCAGCCCATGTCGCCAGCCGCGCGCCAGGGCAGCCTTCCGCGAAGCGCCCTGGCGAGCGGCAGCGGAGAAGGCGACTTTCGATGTCACACTGCGATCTGCAGATTCCCGCTGTCGGCCGCGCCGTGAATCCAACCAGCCCTGTAGAGCGTGAGTGGTTTAGAGCGTTTCCTCTCCGGTTTACCTCTCCCCTCTACCCCCTACCCCTGGAGCTGGACGTGGCACGCCCCCAGGTCTCCAAGAGGCTCCCACCAGATCCCCAAGAGGCCACAAGAGTCGCCGTGGAGGCCCCAAGAGGCTCTCCCGAGGCACCCAGGACGCTCCAAAAGGCTCCCAGGCTCCCAGGACGCCCCAAGAGGACTCCAGAAAGCTTTTAAGAGACACCAGAAAAAAAACCCGAGAAGCATCCAAAACGCCTCTGGCCATTCTGCTCGCCTTGCGTTTCCTCCTCCGCCTGTTCCTCCTTTTCCCTCCTCCCTTTTCCCCATTCCCCTACCCCTCCTCCTCATCCTCCTCCAGCGCCTCCTCCATCCTCCCCCTCTCGGGTCACGATGGCTTCCCCAGCCCGTTATTCCACTGTATGCTCCTCCACTCCACATCCCTGAACAAAACAACTCGCCTGGGCATCGCTTCTTGATGGGCTTGTGGGGGGACGCGATACGTGTAACATGTTCTGCTCAACAAGGAAGTGGGGTGCGAAGTCCCATCCGCGGTGCGCCTATGCTTCCGCGCCGCCGGAGATGTGGGAGACCACGAAATAATCGATGATGCGCCCCGGAAGGCGGATGGCACACTCGTCGGGGCCAACCACATTGAGACAGTGGTCGTCGAGCAGCCCTGCCTGCGCCAGCTCGCTAAGACCCATGTTGAAGCCGCCTGCGATGATGATGATGGGCTGCAAGGCCTGCTTAGCCGCGGTTGCCACCGTGCGCAGCGCCGAGTCGCTGAATTCCCCGTGGCCCGCGCCGACCTTGAAATTGATGTTGAACGAGGCGACGTCTCCTGGAACCAGCCCCGCGAAGCGCGCGACCCCCCGGTGGCCCGCGCCGACCTTCACCTTGGTGTCGAACTGGCCGCGACGCCTCCTGGAGCCAGCCCTGCGGAGCGCGCGATGCTCTCTCGCCCTGGGAGCAGCTGGTGCCTCAACTCGAGCTCGAGCTCGCTTTGCGCCACGTGCCCTGTGCGCAGGCCTGGTGCAACCCGCCGTGGCGCGTGCGCGTGTGGCCAGGCGCCGCACCCGCCGCCGAGCACGCGTCCGCGCGCCAGCCCTCCTGCCGACGCAGATCGGACACCTCGCCCCACCGCGCAGCTGCGAAGTGAGTCTTGGGACGACGCCAGGACGGGGATAGCATCGGGCGGGGGTACATCGAGAAATCTCTGAGATGCGGCGGCTCTGGGGGATGTCTCGGGCGCCGTGGCCTCCTCAGAGCGTTCCGAAACGCTCTGAGAGCGTTGCGGAATGCTCTGGAACGGATTCATCCTCGTCCTAGCCCCGTCCGAAGGTGAGCCTCTTGCACGGAGATCATGTCGCCGCCCATTACATCCCGGCACTGGAACAGGCCCTCAATCCTGCTGTCGGCGATGGCATTGATGGTAGGGGCGCACCGTCAACGCCTCTGTGACCCACTTGATGCTGAGCTCGCTTGGGAAGCTCAGAAGGTCTCCAGGGCGTCGGGACACCAGGTGTCTGGGACAGCGTCGGTATCGGCGCTGTCGGCGGCGGCGGGGAGGGGGTCCACCGGAGAGGCAGAAAAGTGAAGGGGACAAGTTATTGCATTTGGCTTTGAAGTTTGCTCGGTTGCAACATGCAGCTCGCGCTCAGCTCGTCAGCAAAAAGGCCCTTGCATATCGCCGCGATCATTAGCAGCCTTGGACACGTCGAAGTCGGAACAGTCCTTCTTCTCTGCTTCACCAGTTGCCGCCTCGGCTGGCTGAACTCCTGGGCGTCCTGCAGCAGCTGGCGCTGCTGCTGCTGCCGAGCCTCTTTCTGCCCCCGATGCGGGCTTAGGTTGGAGCGGCTTGGCGGCGCTCTTGGCAACCTCCGTGGCCATGTCCGTGACGTTCTTCAGGTCCTGCGCGCTGGATCCCTCGGTGCAAACGCTCTGGAATTTCTCTTCGACGGCTTGGTGCTGGAAATCCTCCACCTTGGACCCCGCATGCCTCGTCGCCGCTTTCTTGGCAGCTTCCATCTCGCTCTCCAGCTTGACGGCCTCCCCTTCGACTTTCTCGACTGGTCCAATTGCTTCGAGAGCCCGAGCCTGATCACTCCGGAGCCCACCCCGAGCAGCTGCCAGAGTGCGAGCAGCCTCGTGCACCTGCTGCGGGGCAAATCGCCTTGCGGCTCAAACCAGAACGTCAGCAGCAGCGTGACGCGCGCTCTCCATCCTAGCACACGAACCCTTCGAAAAGGCGCCCATGGTTGGCGGTGTTCCAAGCCTCGGCGGGGAGAGCAGCCAACTTCTGCACCTCGCCGGCCGAGATAGTACGGTGCCAACGCCTCGTTTTGTGGCACTGAAGCTCTTCTACGTGTGGCTTTGGCGTGGCCATTTCGGGGATGACTGGGCGTAGGCCCAGCGTCCCCGAGGCGGCGGCGGCGGCGGCTCGCCCTCCAAAGAGCGCTTTGGCGAGCGCGCCACTTGGCGCCAAGAATGGTTGCATCGTCGACGGTTCGTGCCCACGAGTTCACTGCAGACGGCGCACTTCCAGTGCACGGCCAAGGCGGAAACCAAGCAGCTGTCAGTGCGAGCAAGATTTGCAGAGCGACGTGGGGCAGGCGGCTACGCACTGTCGGGGTCTGACGCGGACCAGCTGCATGCACTTCCTTCCAACAGGGAACAATGACCTACTTTTCGTGGACCCCTTTGCGTGTGTGGGGCACTTTTCGTGGAACCCTATGCGTGGGACGCTGTGGTCCCTACTGCCGTACCCAACAACCAAGCTTTCTAAGACTGGCGCGCCCCATCGGAACCCAATGGCGACCCATGCTGGAAGGAACCGTGTTAACAGGGCGAATTCATTCGATGCAAACGCGAAACCCACTGCAAATACTGTCGAATCAACCTAGCATCCGCGTCGACTACCTCGGGTCGCCTTGACTGCTGTGGGAAAAATTACACATGCCAGCAAGGGCCAAGGGACCTTCTGCTTTCCCCCCCTGCGGGATGAGTATAAGGGGCAAGGGAGATCGGAGAGAGAGAGAGGGAGAGAGAGAGAGAGAGATAGAAAGAGAGAGAGAGAGAGAGAAACACACAAACACACGACAAAGGAAGGTGCGGGTGACAGCGGGGGGAGCGGCGGTCACTGTTACGCCTCGTCTGCCCCCCACCAATCTAAGCGTTTCTCGCCTCTGCCTGACACTCGTCGCTCTTTGGCCCGGCCGCCGAGATGTTCAGCGGCGGCACCAAACTTTCGGACTGCTCCCGGTGCTGAAAAACAGCCGCCTCGGGGCACGCACCAGTGGGCAGCAAGAGGGTGTTGCGGGCAGAACAAGCAGTCAAACCATGCTGGACATATCGCGTGCGCGGCCGCGGCGCAATGAGTAGAAATTGCTCATTGGCGCTCACCATGCACAAGAAGAAGCAGTGTGTTCGTCCTTCGATGTTCCTTCTCTCTCTGTCTGGTTAGAGATTGAGGGGTGACATCGAAGTTATACGGATTGCCCACGGGGTGCGTGACGCGTTTGCTGGCGAGGCGAAGCTGCGGGAGGCCGATAGTGATCAAGAACTCCTACCCGACCTAATGGAGGTTCACGTCAGATAGTCTCCCCCCCGAGTGCGCGATGGGGTTGTCCCGTGGTTGTGCGGCGTTTGACCCGATGGCTGTCCCAACGGTTGTCACTGCGGCTGTCCCGGCGATTGTCCCGTGTTTGTCGCGTGCATGTCGCGAGGTTGTCGCGAGGATTTATGTTGTTGGTTGTCCCGTGGTTGTCCGTAATTGTCCCATCACTATCCCGAGGTTGTCCCGCGGTTGTCAATTGTTTTTGTGGTTCCCTCTGAGACGGGTAGATCCGCCACCGTGCCCTGAGGCACGAGTTAGAATGTCTTCAGGTAAAGGGTGAACAGAGGTAGGCGTGCTGGTGGCCTTGCCTTTACCTGCGCGCCAGCGTCGCGCAGCCCAAATGAGTTAATCAATGAAACCAAAAGTGTCTGGCTGGCTGCGGCAGGCCGCCGGCAGTCCAGCCAGCCGCCGAGGAGGGGAGGAGGGAGGGGAGGGGCCGCCAGGCCGCCGATGCCCCCCCCAGCCGCCTATGCCGCAGCCCCACCGTCGCATTCGAAGTATAGAATGTCTCCAGGTCCGTTCGAATGCTCTGTCTTAAATTGGAGAAAAACCCTTTGCGGGGCCCACGGCCGGGAGTCCTGGACGCTCTCGGACGCTCGTGGGGGGTCCTCGCGGGACTTGTCTCGAGAAGCCAAGAGCGCGTTGGGGACGGTCATGCAGCTCTCTTGGGCGCTTCTTGGGCCGTCTTGGAAGCCCTGGAGGATGGCCCAAGAGGTCACAAAAAGGCAACATCCATTGGTTTTGTATTGTTCTCGCATCGCCGCCTTTTCGATCTTCAGAGCGCCCAAGGTGACCCAATATGCGCCGACAGTCGCCTCAAAACGGCCCAACAGCCCCCAAGAGAGGCCCAAGAGGCCCCCAAGACGGCCTTGACAAGGGCTCAGTATGGGGAACAGGAACTGACATATCTTTAGCCCTCCCCCCCAAGATGGCCCCACCCACCAGCCCCCGAGGTGTGCCCAAGAGGCTCCAAGAGGCTCCAAGAACCCCCCAGACCGTCTCCACCAGGCATCCGAGAGGCCGCTTAAGAGATCCTCACAGGCATCCAGGAGGCCTCTGACCGACAGCCCAGGCACGGTGGCGGGATGGGCCGAAGGCCGCTAGATTCGCCAACCCCTGTGGTCTGGCCCACGGCGTGCCGAATGTCTGGCAAATGCGTAATTCTTTTCTAAAGAATCGAAGTCGCCTACGGCGAATCACCGGCGCCCTCTGCCTTTCAGGATTCGCCTTTGTGGCCAAACGTTTGGGCAAATAGTGGCCACGCTATTGGACGATGCGTGTCTGCGTTCCCCCAGCCGTTGTAGAAGCCCTTCGGGGAACACGCGGTGGAGGAAAAGGAAAATGAGGAGAGGGAGGAACAAGGAAGATGAGGAAAACGAAGAGGATATCTCTTGGGGGCTTCTGGGGTCATTCTTGGGGCCTTCTGGGAGCTTCCTGGGAGCCTCTTGGAGGCCTCTGGAGGGCCTCCTTGGGCCCCGTGGGGTTTCTTTACAGACTTTGGCCGCCTTACGGCGTTGCTGGCCCGTCTGACGCCGTGGGAGCCTCTCTGGACAGTTTTGGGGTCTCCTTGGTGCGCTTCAGGGCCGTCTTGAAAACCATTTTGGGCGCCTGAAGCCTTTTGGGCCGTCGTGGGGCCCTTTTGACGGCAGTGTTGGGAGCCTCTTGGGCCGCCGTGGGGCAATCCTGAAATCATCTTGGGTGATCTTGGGGCGATGTTGGGGAAGGCCGGTGTGCAGTAAATGCCAAAGTCCTTCAAACACCGATGGGGCATGTTAGTCAGTGTGGTCCCCAAACATTGTTTTTTGCCATATGTGTGGTGCAATGTAAATGAAGCAACGTATAGGTGTAATGTATGTGGAACACTACATCACTACATGTGGTGTAATGGTGCTCCTGCAGACATCCCACCAACACCCACCTGCAATTTGGTTTGCAAAACCCATGCGGCAGCGATCGCGATGAGTGCTTGGCGTTGGCTGATGCGTCTCTGCGGCCGCGCTAGCCCGCGCATGCTCGCGCGCGCAACGGCCAGCTAGTTTGGCGCGACCGACGCGGCCGCGGTTTCGCTGACCGGTGGCCACTTCCCAGCGGGCACTTCAGTGCGAGTCGGTGGCTTGGGCCGGCGCGGTATCATGGCGACGCTGGCTACTGTAGACACGATAGTGAGAATAGCGATGACGGTGACGATGGTGGCGATGATGACGGCAAGACTAATGACGGCGTCGATGTTGATCACACCCGGCGATAACGATGACGATGTCCTCGCGTCGGCAATGAAGGTTTTTGAAGAAATTCGACATGCGCGCGCGGCCGACGCGCGCGAGTGGCCCGCGTGGTACGATTTGAAACGGATCGTGCCCCCCCCTCCCCAGCACGCGCGCGAGGGCGTTCGAATGAGTTGGACATGCGGCGCGAGAGGCCCTTTTTGGGAGAATTGGATGACAATGTTAAACACCTGTGGTTTTTCGAAGAATGCGCAAGACCGCGACCTCAGGTCTTTTGAATACGAGTATTGCAAAACCATGTCTTTATTTATATATATATATATATATAAATATATGTATGAATGTGTTCTCGACGCTCATTTTTGACAGCCTTGCGAAACCTACTGGTTTTGAGGAATTTTGACATGCGCTCGCGACGATGCGCGCGTGCACGTCGTCCCTGTCTCTGCCAGGGAATCGTGCAACAACACGCGCGCAAAGGCGTTCGAACGATTTCGACACGCGCGCTCGAAAGGCCCGTTTGGTAGCAGTTTCTTCGCCAATCAGAGCTTGCCTCTGTAGGGGTCCTAGCGGATTGATATGGTTAGGTTAGGTTTGCCGCCGATTTTCGCCACACGCCCGGGTGCCCTGGTGCCTGGGGGTGCCCGGGTTCCCGGGTGCCCGGGTGCACGTATGCCCGGGTGCCTGGGTGCCCAGGTGCCCGGGTGCCCGGTAGCTTATATAGCCCTATAGCCCTATAGCCCTGTAGCCCTATAGCCCTAATAGCCCTATAGCCTTATAGCCTTATAGACCTATAGCCCTATAGCCTTATAGCCCTTATAGCCCTACAGCCCCATAACCCTAGAGCCCAATAGCCGTATAGCCCTATGGCCCGTAGCCCTATAGCTCCAAAACCTTCTAGCCCTATAGCCTTATAGTCTCATAGACCTAAAGCCCTACACAAAATATGATTGGGGTTGTTCTCGGGTATCATTTTTTGTTATATACATATATATAATAGGTTGAACAACCAATGTTCCTTTTAAAGTTCGCAAAGGCGCGGCTGCAGGTTTTTTTGGGAAACCCTTGTTGCGAAGCCGCGCGTTGTTATATGTGTTCGGGGCATTCGATTTAGAAATCTGTACGAAGTCGTAAACAAGGATTTCGGTATGCGCGCGCGACGGCGCGCGCGTGCGCACTTCGTGCCATTCTTTGGAAGGGACCTTTTGGAAACAACTAACAATTTGTGATGGACGAGTGTGCGTGCATACCGTTTTTCTAATAGGTGAAAGTGGTGTGTGTGGGAGGGGGAGGCGAACGCCAGCCCGTGGCTGCCTGGCTGGATAAAAAGCATAATCATAAGTGAAGTGCCATGCGCGACGCCGGCCCGATAAGTCCTGGAGGTGATGGGGTGGAATCTAATTTCTTTCATGAAAAGAACCTGCGGTATGCAACCTATGTCTTGCAAACTGTGTGGTGCAATTTGTGTTGCGCAGTCAATATGGTGCAATCTATGTGGTGCAACTGATTTTAACCAACGAGTTGACAACTTCCGCGCTCTTGCAAACATCCCACCCACCCACCCGTAACTTGGCTTGCAAAACCCATTCGGTGGCACTTGCGATGCATGTTCGACGCCGACGACGACGACGAAGACGACGACGTCGCCAACGAAGACGACGACGAAGGAGGAGGGAGGACGACGACGGCGACAACGACGACAACGACAACGACGAGGGAGGAGGGAGAGCGGCGACGACGCAACCGACGAAGAAGGAGGAAGGACGGCGGCGCCGACGACGACAACGACGAGGGAGGAGGGAACACGACGACGACGACAACGACGACGACGACGACGACGACGGCGACGAAATAGGAGGGACGACGACGAGACGCCGACGACGGACGACGACGACGAGGGAGGAGGAGGAAGGACGACCACGGCGACAACAACGACGGAAACGACCACGACGCCAAAGAGGACGACGACGACGAACACGAGGAAAGACACAGGACGACGTAGGCGACGACGACGACGACGCGGGAGGAGGGAGGACGGCGACGACGACGACGACGACGACGACGACGCAAGAGCGCGCGCGCACGCTTTTGTTGAAAAACCGTGTTGCGAAACCTTGTGTTTTTGTAGGTTTTTCCCCACATTCTAAATGGGGTTCTGATTTTCTCTCCACCCGCGTCACACCCGCGTTCACCTCACCCCCTCCTTCTCGCTCGTACGCACACCACACCACACCACACCACATCGCACCACACCACACCACGCCACACCACACCACACCACACCACACCACACCACACCACACCACACCACACCACACCACACCACACCACACCACACCACACCACACCACACCACACCACACCACACCACACCACACCACACCACACCACACCACACCACACCACACCACACCACACCACACCACACCACACCACAC